GGGGGGGGGGGGGGGGGGATGTTTGTTGCGTGAGATTATGAGCATAAATTGCGTATTGATTAAGGTGGGAGAAATGAGATTAATGAGAGTAATTATAGAAATACGGAAGAGAGAGAGTGGATTAGTGGAAATACGCGTATAAAAAGCACTTATTCAGTTTTTTTTTTTTTTTTTCAACAAAAGAAAAAAAGAAAAAAAGAAAAAAATGGGGCATCCGAATCATGAAGACAGACTGTTTCTCTTCTTCACTGCTTCTTCTTCTTCTTCTTCTTCTTCTTCATCACCCCAAATCACGGGCCGTACAATCTCTCACTCTCTCCTCTAGGGTTTCGCTGCGCTTCTCTTACTTTCCTGCTCTTTCTTCTCCGACAATTTCTGCGGTACTGTCTGTCTCTGTCTTTCTATCTCATTTTCATTTTATTGTTCTTTTCTCCGATGCTTAATTCTTCTTCAATGCCTGATTTGCTTTGTTTCTTCTAGTTATGTACTTGTTTGTACATTATCTGATCTACGAGGTTGGATGCTTCTGCTGGATTCATTTTTGTTTGCTTTTTTTTAAAAATTTGAGCCGATTGATCTGGTTTGGTTTTCATTCTGTTGAAATTTGGGGGAGTTGGCTTGTTTTTGGTCAAATTGCGTGAAGAATGTGGATTGAAATGGTGTACGGCATGAGGAGTGTCTTTTTTCTTTATGGAGATTCTCTTGTTTGGTGCTTGTGTGTCTGTTTCTTGTATATATTGGTTGATCGGAATTTGAAGGAGGATTTGATGGTGTTTGTTTCGTGATTTTCTGGTTTTTTCCCGAGTTAGTAAGCTCTTGGAAATGGCGGTGATGTAGTTTTTGAGGAAAGTTTGATTCGGCCTCTAGTCTGGCGTTTCTAATTTAGATAAAATAAATGTTTCTGCTTAATTATTTTGGACGAATTTTAGTGTACCGGACGCACTTTGGTTTGGACATGACCGGTCAACTATTTGGTTCTGTGGGTGTTAGCTCAAGCATCATCTTTATTGCTGGTCGTGTCGAGCTCTAGAATTTCGTTAACCACCTTCTAAGGGAGGTTTTCATTCCACTCTGACGTAGACCGCCGCTGAGTTGATATATCACGAGGACGATACTTCCTGATTTTGAATAGCTGGCTGCAGGAAGTGCATTGCTTTGTAACATTAAGATATTGAAAACTGCTCACCAGAAAGATTGGAGGCTTTAAGAAGTTTAACCTTTTATTAATGCCTTCATCGTAGGCTCCTGGCAAACAACGATCTACGTTTTATTATCTAAATGACACAGTCTCGTTTTGTTGTTTCTATTTCACCATTGGCAACAGCCTTTTCTTATGAATAGTATTTATCCTATTCTAATGGTTAGATATTGTTTTTCTATGCAGGAAATTACGTTATCTGACCCATTGGAGACGTACTGCTCAGTATATGTATATTTTCTGTACCACTATGTACTGGGTGAAACATTTCATGTATGATTGTTGAATTAAAATGAACATTGGGAAGTGTGGTTTAAAACTTAGCATATTTAGTGTATGATATAATGGAAGCTACTAGATGTTGGTTTAAGAAGTTCAAATCCAAAGACAATCCAAAGCCCCCTACAAATAAGGAGAGTACAGGCAATGCAAGAGATGCATCCAGAGCACCAACCAGTGAAGAGGTACCCTCCAATGTCACCAAGCAGAAGGTTGCAGCTGCCAAACAGTATATAGAAAACCACTACAAGAAGCAAATGAAGAGCTTGGAAGAAAGGAGGGAGAGGTTGGTCTTCTGTTTTTTTATAGTTGTGTGGTCAGCCAAATTTTATTTTTCTATAGTATTCTCTCCTCCTCCTCCCTCTCTCTGTCTGCTGCATTTCCATCTTCATGTCAAGTACTTTGTAACATGCTAGAACTGATTGGCTTGGGTGCTAGTATTATTTGCTCAATCTTGTTCATCCAATGATTGAAGCCTTTGCCACCTTGGCTGTTCAGTTAATCTTCTATGTACTTGTTGATTTTTCATACCTTGGAGTAAAGTTTTCACTGCTTTCTCTGTAGACGCCATGTACTAGAAAAGAAGTTGGCTGATGCTGAGGTCTCTCAAGAAGAGCAAAGCAACCTGCTTAAGCATCTAGAGAAGAAGGAAACAGAGTATATGCGTCTTCAGAGGCATAAAATGGGTGCTGATGATTTTGAGCCACTAACAATGATAGGGAGGGGTGCTTTTGGAGAGGTATGAATTCTTTCTTTTACATGTAAGTTTATCTTTTCTTACGTGATCGTACGGCTGCTAATGGCTAGCGGTTAAATTTTGATGGCACTGTTATCAACTTTGCTTTGAATTCTAGTAGTTCTGCAGAAAAAAGAAAAGGATAAAATGTTAATAGCTGGTGCAGGTCAAAGTGAACGATAATACCTTTTCATGTACATCATATTTCTTTTTATCTATTTCGTTGATGCATCTTCCCCACTTAAGGTTCCTTTTGGCTTTGGGATAGTTGGCAGTGAGATCTTTCTTGTAGTTTCCATTTGCCTTATTGTTTGAAGATATACGAGCAATAGATGAAGTTAACATATGTTCAACATTCTTTGCATGTTTAACTGGATTTCTTGTTCAAAGATCAATAAGGAAAGAAGCTCATGG